GGAGGAACACATCTTTAATCGGAGAACTTGGGAAGCAGAGACTGGCAGATCTGTGTAAACTCCAGGCAAGCCTTTTCTACTACATATTACTTTCAGGCCAGTCAGGGCTACTACTGAGACTGCCTCTCAAAACCCAAAACAGAACAAAAACAAAAAATTAATTGGGAGTCTAAACAAAACAAAAACAAAAAATCAAACAAAACCCACCGAACTCTAAACTTCACTATCATCCATAATGCTTTGATAACATCACTCATCAGTCTATATATGATAGTCACATTATTTTTATCTCACATTCAAAATGTGGAACTATCTACTATAAAGCCCTAAGCTCAGGGGCTGCAGAGATGGCTCAGCCATTAAGGAACTGGCTGCTTTTTGAAATGAGCTGGGTTCAATTCTCTATACGCACTTGGTGGCTCACAACTATCCATGATCCCAGTTCTGGGGATCCAACAGACAAACACATGATGCACATACAGGCAAGGAGGCAAAAATTTAACTCATAAGTCTAAAATAAATAAATCTAAGAATACATGAAAAGAGAGTTCAAGCTTTCTCTTCCTCATAAACTCTCATCTGTGCTTCCATCCCATCCCTAATTTTTGGGTTATCTGCTTCATTCCCACACCACATCCTAAGTTCCCTGGCTTAATGTCACCTGGATTGTTTATTAAAATCTATTTTCTCTTCCTGTTACTTCTAAACCTTAGTCTCATATACATGGTCATAGACAAAAATGACCTTGAATTCCTTTTTTTTTTTTTACTAATTTTTTTTATATTTATTTATTTATTTATTATGTATACAATATTCTGTCTGTGTGTATGCCTACAGGTCAGAAGAGGGCACCAGACCTCATTACAGATGGTTGTGAGCCACCATGTGGTTGCTGGGAATTGAACTCAGGACCTTTGTAAGATGAGGCAACGCTCTTAACCACTGAGCCATTTCTCCAGCCCCCTTGAATTCCTTTTAAAAACCTTTTAAGATAAGTTTTTTATGCTTTCTTAAATAATTAATTTAATTTTTTTAATTTGCTTTGGTGTGAATGTTATCATGTGAGATCCCCCGTAACTGGAAATACAGACAGGTATAAGCTGCCATGTGGGTGTTGGAAATTGAAACCAGGTCCTCTGGAAGAACAGCCAGTGCTCTTAACCACCGAGCAATCTCTCCAGCTCTAAGATTTTCAGTGTTTAGCACAGATCTTTGTTAACCTAGACTCTCCATCGAGACCAGGCTAGCCATGAACTCACAGGTACATAGTTGCCTCTGCTTGGATTAAAGGACTGGCCTCCAAGTCGCACTGACCGTGAATTCCTGATATATCCCCCCTACCCCTCTGCTTCTCCAGTGCTTACAGGAATGAAACACCTGACCTCACTAAACCTCAGCCTCCCTCCTCCCTGTGCTGGGAACTGAAGACTGAGCAGTGTCAGTGCTGTGACTGCTGAGTCTCATCCTAGCCCAGGGCTAATTTCTACCAGGTCTTCCTGACTCTTCTGGGCATTAGTACTACCTGGATTGTTTTCCTCATCTATGTACAATGTGAATTTGCTGCATAGAAGTGTCCTGACCAGTGTGGATGATCCAAACACAAGAATTCAATGTTCTGTGCACTCCAAAAACACTGTGCAAGCTGGATGTGAGAGTGCACACTGGCGATCCATACCTGGTAGTGTAGAGCCCGGGCCTTCCCTTGCTCCCTGGGATACAAATCAAGGACTGTTTTGGCAACCAGCTAAGCATCCTGCTAAGTTCATTGCTTGTTCTGCTATAGCCTGGTATAATAGCCTAGGGCTCTATATTACTTTGGAATGGTAATTTCTCAACCTGCCCAGAAGAACCCAGGCGCCAAGATCCCTCCAACCTGTCTGACACTGCCCTGCACCCCTCACCCACCTGCCTGTGGAGAAGCTCACTGGGCGCCAGCTTCCCCATCCCCCTCTGGTTGGGAGGGGATCGTTTTCCTCTTCTGTGGCCAAAGTATTTAACCCTGGATTAAGTTTGAATAAACAGCATTCTCCTCTTGGGAATGACTCGAACTCTCTATCTGTGTGTGTGTCTTGTGTTTAACCCCTAGGACCTTATCCAGCTTGTGAAAGGTATGGAATCACGGTCCATACCAGGTGGGTGGTGAAGCAGACCCCGTGGCGTGGAATGTTCACCACATGGTAGGGTCAGGTCAAGAGAGTCTTGAGTTCAAGGGCAGGTTGACTGAAAAGCAAGACCGGGTTTCAAGAAGCAAACAAACGAAAAACACAGAACAAACGTGCTATAATAAGTATATATTGTCCTGTGTTTTTGCCTAAATTCCATGAAAGTTCACAAATGTTACTAGTATCTTTTGACATTTATAGTACACGCATGACTTTTGACAATGTTCACACATGCATTTATGCTAATGAGACTAGGGAGCATGTGAGGTAAGAAAGACCTTTGAATGAATTGCAGTTTTGACCTGGAGATTAGGGTTGGAATTTCTAGAACTACCTGCTGATTCACAGAAGAACTCGGGAACATATCAATTCTGGGATAAGACTATATCTGCCTTCAAAGAGGTTGGTGCACAGCAACACACAGAAGGTTTTGTGCCTGGACTCTGCCACACCCTAGCCTGCCCGATGTACCTCCCCATTCAACTCATTATCTCAGAAAGAAATTTAATAAATTGGTAAGGGAAGACTTCTTTGTCAATTCTGTGAGAATGGTGGCAGATTCTCAAAGGCAGGGATCAAAGGTGTGCACTAGTATGCCCAGCTGTGATTAGCGTTTGTACACAACTCTGGGGTCTTGCACCAGCAGTGGAGGTTCATGTCTTTATCCTAGTTCTTGGGAGGTCGAGGCAGGTTGATCTCTGAGAGTTCAAGGTTAGCCTGGTCTACAGAGTGAGTTCCAAGACCGTCAGATGTGCACAGAAAAGCCCTGCCTCAACAAACCAAAATAAAGTAAATTCACATTCATCCATTCTTGTCATTTTCTCCTTCCTCCAGTTCAGTCAATGCCCTAACAGAGTTCCAGACCTTCTACTTCCCAACCTTCCCCCAACTTTGCTCCTAATACAAAGCAGAAATTGTTCAACTCCCTTAGCACTAATTTGGTTAAGTTAGTCTCTGGTTTAAACTCCGTGAAGACAGCAGGGTACGGAGGAACATATCTTTAATCAGAGCACTTGGGAGGCAGAGGCTGGCAGATCTCTGCAAATCTATTTAGCCTTGTCTACATATTGATTTCAGGCCAGCCAGGGCTACACAGTGAGACGTTAATTCAAAAACCAAAACAGGACAAAAACAAAAAACAAAAAGTAAAAAGCAAGCCCAACCAAATATTCAAACAAACAACAGTTCTCCCAAACTGTAAAGCCTCGCCATCATCCTTATGGTATGGATGACATCACTCAGCAGTCTATATATCATATCCACATTATTTTTATATCACATTCAAAATGTGGAACTATCTACCGCAAAGCCCTAAGCTCAGGGGTTGCAGAGACAGCTCAGCTATTAAGGTACTGGCTGCTTTTTGAAATAATCTGAGTTGGATTCTCTACACCATGTATGGCTCACAACTATCCATGATGCCAGTTCCAGGGAATCCAACAGACATATCCATGATGCACATACAGGTAGGGAGGCAAAAATTTATATTAATAAAGCAAAATAAATATATCTAAAATGAAAGTTCTAGGCTTTCTCTTCCTCATAAACCTGCACACAATTGCATGCTTCCACGCCATACTTAATTTCCCGGTTTATCTGCCTTGTTCCACCAGCACACCCTTAGTTCCCTGGCTTAATGTCAACCAGATGACTTATTGAAATCTTTCTCCCCTCCCCTTTCTTCTAAACTTCTAAGTCTCATATAGACAAAAATAACATTGACTTCCTTTTCTTTTTAAAGATAAGATTGTCACTGTTTAGGGCAAATCTTTGTTAACTTGGACTCTATTGAGACCAGGTTGGCCTTTATGAACTCACAGGTACACAGCAGTTTCTGCTTGGACTAAATGGCTGGCAACCAAGTCCTGCTCACCTTGAATTCCTGATATAGCCCCCCCCACTCTCCTCTGCTTCTTCAGTTTTGCAGGAATAAATCAACCTCTTCTTGTCAGGGGTCTTGAACTTTAGAAATCCCTCACCTCCACCTTTGCAAGTATAAAAACTCAACCCCAACTGAACTCGATGCTCTCTGATCACTTCAATATGTTGGACACACAGAGAGTTCAAGTTTGCCAACTTTTGTAAGAATAAAGGCTCTTTGCTTTTAAATATAGGACTTGGTCTCCTAGTTGAAGGGGGGGGGGGCGGATTCCGTGATCTGGGCATAACATTACGACTGCTGATTCTCATGCTAGCCCAGGGATAATTTCTACCCAGTTCATCCACGTTAGTACCTCTTGGATTATTTTCCTTAAAGTCTCTGTACAATGTGAATTGACTACAGAGAGGTATGTTGCCCAGTGTAGATGCTCCAAGCACAAGAGTTCAGAGTTCAGTGCACCCAAAAGATACTGTGCATGCTGGGTGTGAGAACGCACACTGGAGACCCCAGACCTGGTAGGGCCAAGTCAGGAGGATCTTGATTTCAGGGGCAGATGGTTCTGCAAAGCAAGACTGGGACCAGAAACAAAAAACAAACAAACAAAACAAAACAAAAAACATTGAACAAATATGGTATAATCGGTTTATTTTGTCTTGCTTTTATGTCTAAACTCCTTGGCGGTTCATGAGTGTTGCTAGTATCTTCTGTCATTTATAACACTCTCCTGATCTTTCACAACGTTCACACCTGAATTTATGATAATGAGATTAGGGTGTATGTGAGGTAAGAAAGACCTTTGAATGAATTGCAGCACTGGCTTGGAGATTAGGCTCGTGCTAATCTCCTACTGATTAGACCAACCCATTGTTTTCCAAGAAAGTGGGATGGTCTAGAGAAACTCAGGAGCATATAAATTCCTGGATAGTAAGCACTGTGTCTGCCTTCAAAGAGGTTGGTGTGCACCAACACACAGAAGGTTCTGTTCCCAGGACTCTGCCAGAGCCCAGCCTTCCCTGCGTACCATCCCATCCAACTTACCGTTTCTGAAAGCGCTGCAATAAACTGGTAAGTGAAGTGTAATAAACTGGGAAGCGAAGACTTCTTTGTAACTCCTGAGAATGGTGTCTAATTCTCAAAGGCAGAGATTAAATTCTCGAATGCTGGGACTAAAGATGTGCACGGCCATGCCCAGCTGTGATTAGCTTTATACAAATAAGATGTCTTGTCCGGGCAGTGGTGGTGCATGTCTTTAATTCCAGCACTTGGGAGTCAGAGGCGGGTAGATCTTTGAGTTCGAGGTCAGCCTGGACTACATAGCAAGTTTCAAGACAGGTTTCAAATTACACAGAGAAACAATGCCTTGAAAAACCAAAGAAAAAGCAAGCAAACAAACAAAAAGCCCAAATCTGGTACCTTGCAACAAGAACAATGAGGTAGTGCTATGTAGCATGACAGGTGATTAAGAGGATGACTATAGTATGGCCGTGGACTCCAGTATAGACTTAACAGGGCGGCAGGAGGACTTGTGCAGAATCAATCAGAAACGGTCATTTCTTCTATGTTGCCTAGTGTATGAGGAATCTCCCTCTTCCTTCCCCTCTCTCTCCTTCCTTTTCGTTGTTTTGTTTAAAATATGTTTTTTTTTCTTTTTTACATTTACTGTCTGTAATTGGAGGGATCAAAAGATAACCCATGTGACTTATTTTTCTCTTGGTCCTCCATCCTCTACCTTTCTGGGACTCTCTTTGTGCTGGGATTCCAGTCATGCACCACCGCACCCAGTGCCAAAGGAGGTCCTGAAATTCTCTCCTGGAAGGAGCAGTTCGGCGGTTTGTCTGTCAGGAGTCCTTAGCAATTCTCTTCAAGGAGTCCCGGCTCTGGTAGGCAGGCTTCCCTGCTTTACCGCAGCGTTTCCCAGACTTGAGCAGACGTCTGAATCCCCCAGGGGCCTGACAAACACAGATCTTGGCAGATAATCAGTTAAAAGAATCTCAGGTAAACAAATGGGAGGGCGTAGGGCCGGACGACGTCTCAAGTAGTGTAATCTTTGAGAAATCGTCTTTATCTGAGACCAAATGTACCTTCCTGTCACGCGTCGGTAAACACTTTCAGATTAGTGGCTTCAATCTCCCTTGAGGCAGGTACTTTGGATGATTATCTATTTTGTCTTTTTAGGAAATTTCAAGATACATAATCGTATTAGAGGGTTTTTTTTCTCCATTACTAATTCTCCTATTAGCCTCGCAGACGAAAAAAATCTCAGGAGAAATAGTATAATCTTTCACATGGTGTTCTTTTGTCTCGCCTTAATTTTGAAACCTGCCTCGCCACTTTCCCTTTTTTTTAGCCTCAGCTCATGAGCACCACCATATGGACAGAAGCGGTAGCTCTTGTCTTTCAGATTTAAAGATTTCATGTTTATCTAAGTGTGTTTGTGCGAATGTATTACCACGTGTGTACACTTGTGAGCTGGGTACTGAACTCAGGTTCTCTGTAAGACCTGGCCATGATCTTAATCCCCAACCATCTCTATCTAGTCCATCCCTCCACCCATATAGGAGTTTGAATTCAGGGCCTTTGATTTGAGAGGCAATCGCTCTAGCACTGGGCTCGGTAACCAGCTCCTCCTCCCCTTCATTTACATAGTCTCGGCTGGCCTGGGCCCTGCTGTAAGGCTGAAGCGCCCTTGGATTTCTGATTCTCTTGACTCTACCCTTTACTGGTGAGCGCTGTCGCTAGTGCTACCGTGCTAGGGACTGAACTCGGGGTTTGAATGCCAAATAGCTATCCTACCGAATGAACTACACCCTCCTGTTTTTATTTATTTTTTAAATTCTGAGGTGATGGTTTCGCTCACTTGGTCAGGCAGGCTTTGACTTCACTCTGTAACTCAGACAAGCCTTGAATTTTTTGGTCCTCTTGCCTCAGCCTCCTGGGTAACTCAGATTACAAGCCTTCACCAGGCTTGTTTCTGGACCCAAAGGCTTTTTTGATTTTATCCGTAATCTCAATACAGTGAACTTTCTCTGCCTCTCTGCTTTTTTGAGACAGGGTTTCTCTGTATGTAGTCCTGGCTGTTCTGGTACTCACCTTGTAGACCAGGCTGGTGTCGAATTCACAGAGAGCAGCCTGTCTCTGCCTCCCAAATCCTGGGATTAAAGGCATGCACCACCATCGCCTGTCCCTATCTGTTTTTATTTTATGGCCTTCATTTTTTTTTCTCCCTTCTGCTTCTCCCCCTCCCCCAAGAACTTTTTAATTAAAGAAAGAAGAAGAAAAAATTAAAAGCTGAAGAAATAATCCAGAGCAGACTCTAATTGGACTATCCTTTTGCTAAGGATTAAATTCCTGGTCAGGGCAAAAGGAACTTCAAGAAATTATTGCCTAGTTCGAGGATTTGTCAGGAGATTGATAGATGGCAGGCAGTTTGATTTGGAACTCCGGTAAAGGAAGCAGAGCCACAGTCAGGCAGCGGGAGGGGAGGAGGTGTCTGGAAGAAAGAGCCAGTCAGGACGGCTTAGGAAGGGGTGGGGAAAGCATTGCCTGTGTGTGCAGCCGGCAAGGACTTTTCTGCCTTTCTGCAGACATTGTGTCTTTGTGAGCTGACTGCAGAGGCCTTGTGTGGGCAACGTGTAATCGAATGTATGTGTTGTTTCTTTCCGACCATGGGTCTGGGTGAACTGCTGACTGCAAGAACCAGGAATGGGTTGCTGAAAAGATTTTGCAGTCGGAGAGCTTGTCTGTGGTTCTGTGGTATGTGTGGCTGGCTTTTTGCCAAACATGCTGTTTCTGGTTCCAGCTCTCTTGGAAAGTTTAGTGGACAGCTAGCAGATTAAGCCAAGACACAACAAAGTCAGGATTTAGAAGAAAATACAGGGGCAATGTGAGGTGGAAATAGAATCTGGTACAGAAGAAAGAAGAGGAGACAGAGAAAGGGGGGAGGGGAAGCAGAAGATCAATATTTAAGTTCCTTCCTTAGGAAGAGAAAGAAATTTCTGAGTGGGAGAGGTAATGAAAAGCAGCGCACACTTCAGATGTGGGTGCTGGACAACCCCAGTATCTTCGCCTCCCCCATTTCTGGGCATGTTTATCTTGAAATGTGGGTGTTATGTGGATATTTAGGTTCTACCAGGGTGCTCAGAGCGTGAACAGTTCTTAGGGGTTTCAAGGCTGTTGCTGGCGATGGAATAGAGAAGTGATTGAACACAATTGGTTCCTGATCTGGGGGTCACGCAACAGGACAGAGGACTGTTTTGGTGATGAAAAGAATGCCTGAGGTGCATGGCTGATTTCAAAAGCAGAGACCCTGAGATGTCACCACATTCCAAGAATTGACATTATTGCTAATTTACTTAAATGTAATAGGGGCCACCCACACCTGGAAGGAGACCTATAAAAAGGTGGTCTAACAGTGGACAGGACACTTCATAGGAAGTGAGGGTGTGGACCAATCTGGCCTCGAACTCACAGATCCACCTGCCTCTCCATCTCAAGTGCTAGAAATAAAGGCAGGCACTACCACTGTCATGCTCAGCTAGCTATTAAGTTATTGTTGTTTTCTGAGACAGGGTTTTTCTTTCTTTCTTTCTTTCTTTCTTTCTTTCTTTCTTTCTTTCTTTCTTCCTTTCTCCTTCTTTTTTTTTTTTTTCCCGAGACAGGGTTTCTTTGTAGCTTTGGAGCCTATCCAGGAACAAGCTCTTGTAGACCAGGCTGACCTCAAACTCACAGAGATCTGCCTGCCTCTGCCTCCCCAGTGCTGGGATTAAAAGTGTGCGCCACCAATGCCCAGCTGAGACAGGGTTTTTCTATGTAGCCCTGGAACTCACTTGTAGACCAGGATGGTCACGGAGATCCACCTGACTTTGCCTCCAGAGTGCTGGGATTAAAGGCATGCACCACTACCGCCTGGCTCCGATTTATATTCTTAATTACAAATTTCATCTACTGTGGTGTCTTCCCAGCACTTTGTTCCTGTCAGTTTTAAACTTCCGAAACTAGAAATCACACACTCAAGATGACTTGCACTGTTCCTCGTCTGCCTGCCTCTCTCGTTCAGCCATTGCTGCCTAACTTCTTTCCTTGTCTCCCGTGGTCTGGATTACCTGATTAATTCTTCCACTTTTTTTCTTCATCTTTTTAAATCAAAAATCAGCCCTTTGCAGGTTTGTCTTTCGCTCACTGCTTTCCTGGCGTCTCTGTGTCCGGCAGACTGGATGCAGAGGTAGGGAACAGGCCTGGAAGGCAGCTGCTTCAACTCTTTCTCCCAGCAGCCTAGGAGGCTGACTTAAAGTGGTCTGCGCATCCCCTCTTTCTAGCACACAGTCTTCCGTGCAGGGTCTCTCCACGTCCCCACCTTAAATTCCACCCTTCCCCCATCTGTCTTCTGACATCATTCTCCACCAGCTGTGACAGTCCGGGACACTGACCTACTTTCAGCCTGTCAAACACGAAATCCTGGTTTTTCTACTCAACTGGCTTCTCTGCTGAACACTTTTGGTCCCCCACGCGCCAGCGAGTCCCCCGACACTTTGAACTATTTTATGGTCTCAGAAAGAAAATAGCTTTTACTTTTCATATCAGAAGAGCAAAAACCATAATGATAAACAAAAGCTTCTACGGCTTTAGCAGATCCATTTACGACTTAAGTGGGTTTATTTATCATTCATCAAAACAGAATCTATGTGTATCTGAGGATTCAAGCACCTATTGATATTTTTTTTTTGTTGAATCTCTGTAGGTGATGCTTGGTTAGTAGATTCTTAGGTCTGTGGCAAATTTGAACATACACCACTATTTCTCAAATTTTTAAATGCCATTGAAGAAATATGCCCAAACAGTAACCACAGATAAGACAAACTCAAAATGTGAAAAAACCTGAAGGCATCAAGTCTGTAGTCTCCAGACGGATGATGAGGAGAATTGGAATAAATTAGAACAAAACTTGGCTCTGCCACTTACAGCTGTGTGACTTTGGACAAGATGCTTAACATCTCTGTGTCTTGGGATGTTTACAGAAAGAAGATACGGAGATCCAGCAGGGTTGTTGGGAGACCTTAAAGGGCTTA